AAACCCCCCCCCCCCCCAACACAGTTTTGCATAGGGCCCCCAGAAGTCTAGGATCTGCACTGCTTACAAACTTATGTAGTTTTATTTTTATTTTTTTTATGCTGGTTTTTAAGACTATAGCCCTATTCGCACAGGATTAGTATTATCTGGGGAACTTGCGTGATTTAGAAATCACACCCCTCACATCTGAATTTCGTGTGGCGCATTCGCACGGGATAAGCGAAGCCTGTGATTTTACTCGAATTTACTGACTTATCTCCTTTATTTTTTTTATGCTGGTTTTTAAGACTATAGCCCTATTCGCACAGGATTAGTATTATCTGGGGAACTTGCGTGATTTAGAAATCACACCCCTCACATCTGAATTTCGTGTGGCGCATTCGCACGGGATAAGCGAAGCCTGTGATCTTACTCAAATTTACTGACTTATCTCCCGGATATGCTGTCAAGGATTGCATAACATTATATATCATAAACAGGAGAGTGTTCCCTACCGCATGCTGCTGTACATGTCATCCATCTCCATCTAATCCTTTTTCTGATGTTTTTCAACTTTCGCTTTCTACAATTTGTATAATTGTATTATATATAGCTATATGACCCAGCACCCAAAATACTACCAAAACACTCCAACGCAGCCTCAGTTCTTCACGAAAGAAGGATAAAAAGCCACACAGGAAACAAATCACCTTGAAAAAATGATATAGGATCCTGCCAAATCACAGAGATGCCAATTCACATGGGACTAATATTATCACAGGACCTCGGTGTTTGGCGAAATATGGTACAATTTTTACTTTACAAATTACAGACATGGCCGATTCGCACGGGGCTAAGATCACAGACAATCTCCGCAGTTATTACAAATGACTAGAGGTCACCAGGTAATACTAATCCAATGCGTATAGGGCTTATTTTGCAAGTTACTGTCAAACTTATTGAAGACAAACAAGAAGAGTCAGAACAAAGAAACATCTGATAAGCAGTGGAACAAATTAATACATCAGAAGAAAGATACAAAATGAAGTAAACAGGGCTTTAAATGTTTCAGGTAAGTCTGTCTATAACATTAAGCTATTCAGGTGAGAAACATACAGAAACTGAATAAAGTAAGCAAATGTAAAATACAACACTATGAATGAAATATAGTAACTTTTATTAACGCTACAAAAAGTATTCATTTGAGAACAGTGAGTGATTTTATATCTTTATTTTGTTGTTTGATTAACATTAATTACACAGCAGGAGGTTTATTAGGCTGCTATTGCTATTAATTATTATTATTATATTATTGTAACCCAGTTTACACTGAATGCAGTGTAATCCGTTTAGCCATTAATATGTTTATAAGAAACTGAAAAAAAGCACAAATGTCAGCGCATGCCAATACTTCTCCAGGGCCCCAAAACCTCCTCAGACCCCAGAGAGTTAAGACCTAATTCACGGAGCTAATATACTGTATAACTACTGTATAACTAACAGGATTAGATGAAAATGCTTCTCTAAAAATCTTCATTTAAAGCCTACATTTGTGTGGAATCAGAGAATGTGGGAACTGTCTTACCACACCAAACTTCAGCGAAACAGCCGGCCCCCAGCTTCCTGTCCAGCGTCAGAGACTCGCGTGCAATTTCCCAGGAGTCATAGCTAAGTCCCACCGTATCAGGGATGTAGACCATGCACACACCCGTTAAATTAAAGCACAAACCATCTGCACTCTCTATAAAGGAGGAGGAGTAGAGGGGTTAACTAGTAGGACGACAGGGGAACATGCAATGAGAGAGAAGGAGGGTGGTCACGTTGTCCTGAGAGGGTCGGTCACTTCAGGATGTCTGAATATTCCAGAAATGGATGCACACATTGACCCACTTTATGTCCATTATAAGAGTGTGTTTTTTAAAAGCCAGAAGGATGTCTTGGCAATCGTCATGCCACAAATGCTTTTGTTAGAGCTTAACACATATTGAACCTGGAAGATTGGTTTAAATAAATGAGCTTACATATCCAGACGTTTGTAAAGTAACTCCACCCCTCACTTTGACCTCACTCCATCTCCCTCTCTGGGGTGCGTTTCCCAAAAGCAACTGTGGTCGCAAGTTCCGTAATTACCAATAGATTTCAATGGAACTTGTGACCATAGTTGGCTAACGATGCCTCTGGGAAACACACTCCTGGTTGGCGGTTGCTTAGCACTGTGGGAGGAGCCATACCAATCCAAACCTCCCCGAACTGGCCGTTGCCTAAGCGCTTAATGAGTTGCAGCGACTCCCGTGGAATCTCCCACACATCTTTGGTTTTGACAGACAGGTCAGTGAGCCTTGGCATCCCTTTGTGGCAAGGGACGACCAAACGACAGCAAAGCCCCGCTGCCCGCTCTGAGCGTGTGCACACAGACATATACAGATACACACAGTGTCAGAGAGAGAGAGAAAAGACGAGCATCAGAAGCACTGAAAGAAGCAGTGAAGAGTTTTAGCGTGACGCCTGCAAATAGTGTGCAATTTGTATCGCTTGTGAACCCATGTTGCATGTTTCTTTCAGTGGCATCTGCACTTGTTTGTGAATCACTTAATGTCACTGCATGATTTCTTTCACTTTGTGACAAAGACTTGTTGGCTTCTTGAACAAAACAATAACAACAACAACAACAACTAGAACCTGGTAACTAGGGCTGGGCGATAAATCGATAACGATAATTATCGCGATATAATTTTCCTCGATAAAATGATAAGAAGAGTTCGATAAATGTTCGATATTTTGTTTAAAAGCGGAACAAATCAGCGCAACTCATTTGAAGCGCACCACACGTACCGTTTATCCGCTCGACTCAAAGTTCAAACAGCAGCGCAGCGGTTGCGAGCTCACTAGAGCAGATTGATGACAGCGCTTGAATTCAGCGAAAAACACTAGTTTAAAGCCAGATGAAACAGTGCTGATACAAGGAGAAACACTGTGCACAATGATACAGTCAGAAGACTTTTTAATCTACAAATCGCCATCATTTACCATAGATTTACTCCAGTAACACTAACAGCACCATGGTATTGTGTCAGAAATGTGGGTATTCGTATTGAATTTCATTATTAATGTAGACATGTATTAAATGTATTAAAGGAGCATTTTTACTAAATGTATTTAGATTACTGTTTTTCATACAAATACCTAGAAACCATATAGCTGTAGCGTCTGGACCAATCAAACACACAATATATATTTTGTTAGCTATATTTAACAAATCCTCTGTAACCCCCCTCAGTTAACAAGCCATATGAGGACCTATGGACCTTTCCCCCGAAATGCGTAACACCCTAGGATGTCTGCAATGACACCAGGCCCCCCCGGTCCCCATGGCAACTAATGCTGATATCACTGGTTTTATGACCCACAGGAATGTGAGTAGGGAAAATCACTACCTTTTTATAGGAAGAGACACAATGCACAGTAGAAATGGACTTTTCTCTAATTAATCCATAGGAAAACCTTTCTTTGAATGAACACACATATCCTTCAGGTCATCGTGTATGTTGTCTTTGAGATTTTATACTGTTTTATGCAGGCTTATGATGGAAACACTCATTCCTGTCATCTTACCTATATGTAATCCTACCATGTTTAGTATCTATGAATTCGCCTTCTGATGATCTAAACGAGAGTGTATATTATATGTTGGTACATAGTAGTGATGCGCGGATGGCGGGTAAATCCGCGGGCGCTGCGGATAATCCGCGGATCGGGTGGGTCGGGTAATAAAAAAATGCATTCTGATTATTTGCGGGTGGGTCGCGGGTGGATAAAATAAATCACTACATTTTTACCATGGTATTGAGGTGCTATACATGTGGTTTTAACTGTGATTATCATGATCAAAATGTATGCTACAATGGAAGACCAATGGTTAATAAAAAAAAAAACTCAAACAGAATAATTAATTAGGCAATAAAAAATGTGGTTGCTGCAATTGTTGCAGATGATACTGATTTTGATAATAAACATAAATTTGCATCTGCATCCTAACGCAAGCTACTATCAAATGTGCATTTCTAAGGGACAAAAAAATTTTAATATTATAATTAATATTATCAGGCAACACAAACCTGTTTCTTGATTTGAAACAATATTACTCATTAGAACATGCAGAAACTAAGAAATTATTTTTTGTTCTATTAAGATATTTATTTCATTAAGGAAAAATGGCTGGAAAAGTGTAAAGAATTCAAAAACATTAAGTATTTACCATGTTCTGACCATAAAGAGTAGTTTAAAACCACAATTAACTGTCTGGTTTTGACAACTTTCACTTTGTAGCAAAAATCTGCCTTTAAATTTGAAAGAAAGAAAAATTTGACATATACTGTATATCGTGATAATTATCGATATCGACTGATATGAAAAAAAAATTATTGTGGTAATTATTTTTGGCCATATTGCCCAGCCCTACTGGTAACTGATTGAAAAACAGTAATGGTTAGCAATAATCATTCAGTCTGGACTGTTTTGTAGCTTCCTTTGAGATGTTTGCACCTCATTGACTGGCCATAATGTAGGACATGCCTGATCAGGGCCGTTTTAACCATAGGGCTAGGCGGGGCTTCAGCCCCGGGGCCCGCGCA